AGACCTGAAACCCTCAACACACCGCCAACTCGTCCCTCCGGAGAGCCCAATACAGCTTCATCGAGGAATATGTCTTCAAGCGGAACATCCCTCAACCCTGTCATCCCAAACCCTCAATCCCCAACCATAAGCCGAACACTCTCAATGAAATGGTCTAGTCATAGACCCAAACAGCACGCACCGTAAACCGCTTAAATCTGTAAACCACCGAATTCAAAGCTTTACCAAAAAACACGCCAAAAGATAGGTACGAGGGGGGGGAGGGCCATCCTCAGCGCTTCCAGGAGGAGCTCTCGCCGACCCAAAACTGCGGAGTTCTGGTCTCTTCTAAGTCGAGGTTTGATTGGGTTCGGGGCTTTGGGTTTCGGGTGTGTTTTTCAGGGGTTTAGGGTAGGGTTTAGGGTTTAGGGCTTAGTTGATTTATTTGGGTTTAAGGTTTGATGAGAGGGTTTGAGGTAGAGGAGTTTAGGTTTAGTGTTCATGACCTACCAGTACCTAGACCAAAGAACCTACCGTTTGAAGGACTCACATAAGGAAATCATAATAGGGAAGGAACCCTCAAAAGGTAGGTTCTTAGAGGTTCAGGGAGGGCTTAGGATTTCTTGGCAGAGTCGTTGACCTTAAAGGCCTGAGGTCCAGGGAGGTGCAGGCTTCAGGGTTTAGGAGGGCTCTGTTAGGGTTTAGGGTTTACCCTACACCCTCAACCCTAACCCTAAACCCTAAGCCCTAAAGCCCCGAAGGCCCCCAGACTCTAAACTGCTCAAGGTTTGAGGGTTTGGGGTTTGAGGCATTTTCAAAAATTCGGATTGGAGGCCCCGGGCCCGCAACCGAAATCCTAAGAGGCTTAGGGAACCTCTAAACTCAGCAAGAGCCCAACCTACTCAAGCATTGCATCCCGTCATGTAGACCTCTGATGACTACACCTCTTCCTGAATAAAGCTTACAACAAGAACTATGATAGCAGCAATTAAAAGGAAAGTGGATTCATTAATCAGAGGTCTACATTAACCATACCCTAAACCCTAAATCCTAAACCCTAGATTCACGATGCCTGGACCCCCTGGGTCGCTGATGCCGCAGCAAGTGCGTGGTTTCGTGGATTGACTTAGGCCTGTTGGTCACTATTAGGGTTTAGGGTTTAGGGGGTCATTAGACCATAAGAACCTCAAAAACACAAAGTGCATAGACCTGAACGTCCAAATAAGCAAATGAACTATGCAAGACATTGCGTTGAGCCTCAACTCACTATATACAGACGTCTATTGGCCCTTAAAATATACATGACTTATGCCTGAAACCCCAAGCCCGAAAAACGTAATGAAACCCTAACCGCCCTAACCCCTTAACCCCAATACGAATCCTAAAACATTGACACCCTAAACCTTCAAACACTAAAACCCGAACCCCCTAAAGATCCCTTATAGATCCCTTGATGGAGCCCTTCAAGCGACCCTGATGAAACCCTTCATAGCCCAAAACCCTAAACCCTTTAAAACCCTAAATCCTACAAACCTGATTTAGATAAAACCTTAAACCCTTTAAAACCCTATAAATCCTATAAACCTGATTTAGATCCCCTTTATAATAATGTCAAAACAAACCCAGCGAAGGCCTCGCCGCGTGCCGCGCAGGGACAGGGGCAGCCGCTGCCCAGGGCGAAGTGCCCTGGCAAGGTCGCCTCAGGGCTTTCGGGGTTTAGGAGGTTCTCTAAATTAGGGTCCCTTGTAGGGTCCTTTTTGTAAGGGGACCCTAATTTAGAAAACTACCCGTTTCGGGATTAGGATTTAATATTTAGGGGTTTAGTGGTTAGTGGTTCAGGGTTTAGGGCTTCAGGGCGCGGGGTTCGGGGTGTAGCAAGTTGGCTTCAAGATTACTGACAGTGTCACGATGACTACTGCTACTGGTACTGGTTACTACTACTACTACTACTACTACTACTACTACTACTCCTGCTGCTGCCACTACTACTGCTACTACTACTACTACTACTACTACTATTACTACTACTACGACTACTACCAATACCACTGCTACTC